CAAATTGAGCATCCAGGCAGAATTTTTTTTTTTTCTTTAAGCAATGATACATTGATTTTCATCTGCCTCTGGGAAATGAGATCATTAGCAAGGAGGGTTTCTACTTTCTGCCTATCCCTGTAAGAAGCCAAAAGGAAAAAAAAGTTGCCAGATGCTTGGAAATCAAGCTGCATATTTGGGAGATGGATGAAAGTGTCTGTACTTGGCTGTAAAAGCCTTCCCTGGGTGAGATGACTATGGCTGTTGAAAGATCAAAGAGTCATTCTTTCTCCTTTCTCCTGGAATAATCATGGCCATTAATAGCACATGCTGACTTTTTCTTGGGTGAAATGGAGGGCTTTTGACTTTATCCTCACCTCGACTGCGGACCTCTCCATTTGGTCTCAGATTGGTTTAATTACAGTTCTTCTGTGGGAGCCAGAGAGGATGGGAGAGGGATTAGCTAGGATGTAAACACCTTTGTAAAGGTAGCAGTGAGGGTTTATTACCGTCTACATCAACAGATGGCAAACTTTTTTTCTGATAAAAGCCAGGTAGTAAATATTTAGGCTTTCTGGGCCATATGGCCTCTGTCACAACTACTCAACTCTGCCATAGTATGAAAGCAGCCATAGATATAAAGATAAATAAGCATGCTTATGTCCCAATAAAACTTCACAGAATCAGGCCTTTTCTGCCGGTGTTGAGGAAAACACTTTTAGGAGTCAGCCCTGGAGCAGTAGGCCTTGCTCCCTGGGACAAGGCCATGTTCAGTTCGAGGGCCAAAATCATGAAGCCCAATGGCGAGAAGCTGGGTGAGTTCGAGTCCAGCATCTCCCAGGTTCTTCTCAAGCTGGAGATGAACCTGGACCTCAAGGCTCAGCTCAGGGAGCTGAATATTATGGCAGCCAAGGAAATTGAAGTTGGTGGTGGTGGAAAGCTATCATTATCTTTGTTCCCTGTTCCTCCACTGAAATCTTTCCGGAAAATCCAAGTCCGTCTAGTACATGAATTGGAGAGAAAGTTCAGTGGGAAGCATGTTGTCTTTATCGCCCAGAGGAGAATTCTGCCTAAGCCAACTCGAAAAAGCCGTACAAAAAATAAGCAAAAGCGCCCCAGGAGCTGTACCTGACATCTGTGCATGATGCAGTCCTTGAATACTCGGCCTTCCCAAACGAAACTGTGTGCAAGAGAAGCTGCATGAAATTGAATGGCAGCCAGCTCATAAAGGTTCATTTGGACAAAGCCACAGCAGAACAATGTGGAACACAAGGTTGAAACTTTTTCTGGTGTCTATGAGAAGCTCACGGGCAAGGATGTTAACTTTGAATTCCCAGAGTTTCAGTTGTAAACAAAAAATGACTAAATAAAATATATAGTCACAGTAAAAACAAAACAAAAAAACTTTACAGAATCAGGTGGTGGGCTGCACTTCGCCCTGGGGCTGTGGTTTGTCAACTATAGATTTCAAAATCTCTGGCTCTGAGTCTGCTGGGTCTCCCAAACTTTGGTGCTTTTTGCAAAACATAGAAAATGGTAACTGGGGGAAAAAAAGGTAATAAAACCTTCTGCTTTCAATCAGCCAAGATGCATGTTCCTGAGAGTGGTTTCCTTTTCAAATAGAACAGGATCAGCAGGCAAACAGGAAGGAGTCGGGACTGCTTAACTTTGGGTCTCCCTCCAGAGCTCCATATTGGTAAAACCTAGAAGGAAGCCAGAAGCCCAGGAAGAAATTCATTTGCAGAGTCCAGCCTCAGCACCACAGATAGAGCAGAGAAGAATGAATTTGAAGCTGAGACACAACTGCGGGACAAGTGGCTGAGACCCCACCAATGGTATCAATATTGTTGGTATGACATGAGGTTAGTAATGAGACCCAACCCAAAATGTAGCTATCAGAGAAATAGGGTTGCTGTCTGATAATTAAACTGGTGAAACCTACACACACTATGGCTTGGATTGGCTGGGTGTAAAATTAAATACAATTCCACCTCTAACTTTGAAGACTTTGAGGACACACAAAACTCTACATAAAGTGATCTGAGTTAATTCTCAGAGAGACAAGACAGGCGTGCAATTTATTAAGTAGAAACCTAAGCATATTGTACCATGTAGGGAAAGAGACTGTGTGAGTGGAAGGGAGCTAGATTAGCCTAGACAAAGGCATCCAAGGCCAGGTGTGGTGATACACGCCTGTAGTCCCAGATACTCCAGCTACTTGGGGGGCTGAGGTGGGAGGATTGCTTAATAAAGATCATGCCACTGCACTCCAGCCTGGGCAACAGAGCGAAGTGAGACCCTGTCTCAAAACAACACATTCAAAAAGTGTATGTGTGCCCTTGGTGATGATTGTAGGACTGGTATTTTCAAAAAGATTCTCTGAAGTGATCATATAAATTGTGGTTTGGCAGGAATGAAATATTCAAGGTATTGAGTCTAATTGATTATAACAGGGTGTTCCCTTTAGTAAGATGCAGTCACTGTTAAGAGCAGGTTGGCTGCTAGAAATGTGCACTAGCATGGAGGATTTAAAGTTTGAAATAATGAAAATGGTTGCTCCAGTATTTAAATGTGTAATTGTGATTGGCTTTCTCTGCAGCCCCAGGTGCTGCCTCCATTGCCAAGGGATAAAATTAATGCTCTCAAAACCCCCATAAAAGTAGTTCCTTTTGTTTGACAGAGGACAGCTTTGGTAGAAACATGTTCTTGTCAAAACCAGTCATGTCTGACTTACCTTAGCTGATGGGGACAGCCCATGGAGTATCAGACAGCCAGAATCCACACCTTCCCATTGTCCTCTGCCTACTGAACCCAACACTTGGGTGAGGGGCCTGGGTGGATGAAATTACCTTGGATTGCTATTGTGCTAAAACTTTCCTCACTAGGAGTTTGGGATTCAGGGATCGTGGACATTGGCAACAAAAAGTAGACACGCTTGATCACTTATTTTTCTGAATCATTCAATACAAGGAATTGTTCTTCAATGTTTTGCCTTTGCAGTCTCCTTTGACATTTCATGTAGATTTGTCTATAGGCAAGAATGCTTTAGTCATATCTGAGAGCTCTGGTTCATGTGACATTTCTATTTCTCGTCATATTAACAAATTGCTTGGCCTTTGGCTTTTACGTCAGCCTCTCTTAGCCTGGGTTAAAATGAGTAAACCCCAGATCATCAGCTCTACTCTTGTGGTGCTGACAAAATCCAGATTTTGAGACTTCAAAGCAAGATGCCAGAAGTGAGGCATGATAAATTCCCCAAGGTGAATGACTTCTTTGGAGCCTGCAAGCAGCTAGCCAATGAAGTCTCCCTACCATTCCTGGGCAATGTTCTGCTCAAGCTAGAACAGATTTTAAAGTCCATTTTTAAGGTGGCCTTTTTTTACAAAATAAAGTGATGACCCTTCCTTAGAGATTTAGTTCTAGGCCATAAAGTCCATATCTTTATAGCTTTATTCCTACTTTTTTTTTTTTTTTTTGTATAAACAACAAAGAAAAGTGGTTTTCCATTAAAAAAACAGAGCAGTGGGAATCTCTTTAAAAAATGAACTCACATGCAGATCATCTATACTTGAAACAGATAAAAGAAACTACTCTTTTGAAGCAGGGCTGAGCCTGTAACCTGCTCTACCAGGACTCTCTGTACGTCTGTTTGAAAATCACATCTAAATACTGAAAAGGCTGGGGTGAGAAAGAAGTAAAGCTTATAGTTCGATGGTTCTACCACTCCCAAGCTTTAGATCTCAGCCGAACGCAGGGATGGAAGTACTAATACTGCGATGATTCTGAATGAATGCCACACACACTGGAAAGTTCATGAAATGTTCTATAGCTGGCATTTTAAAAAGAGTGACATTTCATCAAGACTGTGATTTTAAGAAGAATAATTCTGCTGTCCTGTGTTTCTCTGCACCTCACTAACTTTCCATCCTATGGGATCTGATCTCAGAGCCCATCCTGTTTTCTCTGTTCTGGTATTTTACTTTCTCTTTCTCTCTGCTAATGGCTTGAGGACTAATGCTGTAATTTATCTCCAGGCAGCACAATGTCATTTTGGCTTTGTTTTCTATAATTTATACCATATACTATTTTCCATACTGAATCATTAACTCTTAAGAGTAATGCAGATGACATGAATTACCTAAAATGAGCCATGCAAAATAAACTGTCAGCAAGCACAATTTATTTCATTTTGTAGCAGTTGAGACTCAAGCAGAATGCCAGGGCTAGGGAAAACAGCACTGCCTACTCCAGTCTGCTTTATCAAATCCCGGTGCCTTTAAATACATCCCCAGTCCCAGGAAAAGAGAAAAGCACTATAACTAACTGGGTAGTTTAACTTAAAAAAAAAAAAAAAAAAAACCTTTGAGGAGAACAAGATTGGCCTTTATGACAAAGAATCCCTAACCTTAAAACAGGTTCTAGTCTCTAAAAGTCACTTCTAAAGTAATTACTAAAATGTTTGTCTCCTCAGTTGAACATGAATGTGCTTGTTTTTAATAGCAAAGAAGCACCATGGCTCATTTTCACCTTGCATGACGGGGAGCTCAGAGGAAAAGTTCGTGTTGTGTAGGTCTTAACTTTCATGTTACTTCTTGAGAAAAGTGACTTATCCATCTAGTCTAATTACATTAGCTAGCTTTCTTTCTGGTTATTCTAACTTACTGTATTAGTTTACAAGGGATGCTGTAAGAAAGCACGCCAAACTGGGTGGCTTAGAACAAGAGAAATGTACTGTCTCACATTTCTGGAGGATAGGAGTCTTAAGTCAAGGTATTAGCAGTCATACTCCCTCTAGGGAAGACTCCTTTGCCTCTTTCTAGCTTCTGATGGCTGATGGCCATCCTCGACATCCCTTGGCTTGTAGTTGTATCACTAACTCCTATCTCCATTTTGCTTGGCTGTCTTCCCTCTGTGTGTCTCCTTAGCGTCTCCATGTGACCACCTTATAAGATACCAGTCATTGGATGCAGGGTCCACTCTATCCAGGAGGACCTCAACTTTACTTAACGAATTACATCTACAAACACCCTAACTTCTAATAAGGTCACATTCTAAGGTCAGATGGACATGCATCTTGTGGGGGTACTATTCAACCCGCAACACTCACCGTACCTCATATTGGCTTTGCAGCATGTATCACTGGCTGGGTAGTAACATGTATTCTTTGTTTACTTTTGAATTCTTTCACTACTCTCTCTGTTACAACATTCTGGAATATAAGGTTTGTTAGAACTGGGGCTTACCTTATTCTATGCTGTAATCCTGGCATCTAATAGGAGCTTGAAAATAATTTGCTTCAATTAATTTTTTTTAACTTTTTAATAGCTATTATTTAATTTATAGCTCAGTTTTATAGCATATCTGTATTAAGGTGTGCTCTTCTCTGTGTTAAGATGACTTTTTATTTCTCCCATTTATCTTTGACTAACCACCTGAAATCCTTTTTGGAAGAAACAGTGGAGAAGAAATTATGAACAAATAAAAAGAAATAAATACAAATTATGTATTTTTCCAGAGAAATAATGTGATGAATTTTTTTTTTTTGAGATGGAGTCTTGCTCTTTTGCCCAGGCTGGAGTGCAGTGGTGTGATCTCAGCTCACTGAAACCTCTGCCTCCTCAAGCAATTCTGTCTCAGCCTCCCAAGTAGCTATTACTACAGACGTGTGCCACCACATCCAGCTAATTTTTCTATTTGTAGTAGAGACAGAGTTTCGCCATTTTGGCCAGCCTGGTCTTGTACTCTTGACTTCAGGTGATCCGCCCACCTTGACCTCCCAAGGTGCTAAGATTATAGGTGTGAGCCACTGCACCTGACCCCAGGACATCCTTTAATGTTAAATGTTTTAAAAGTTTTTAATGTTGAAGGCCAATAACTTTAAATGGATCAGAAATATTATTAGCAGTGCACTAGACTTAAAAAACCCAGTGCTTTCGGTGTTTTTTTTCTTTCTGTTAGCTTGGAGGTAGGACTGTACAAATACCTGGCATAAGACGGGAGGCTAGTTTTTGCTAGATGAATTCACTGAAAAAAAAAAACAGAAGAAGACACCAGTGTATCTGGCCCACCATGAGCCCTCTTTTCTCCCTTAAAGGGAAGGTGATGAGAAGTCTGTGCGGGGTGGGTTGGCATTGGATCTAAATTCTTGACTTTCTGCTACTTTGGGTCTTTTGCTGTTTTCAGATTACCTTGGGGGACCCTTAGCATATCTTCTGAGAGATCTTTAAATGTGATTATCCTAAACAGTATCCCATCATGGTATAAGTTTTCTGAATCACATTAACAAAAATGGGCCTGAAAAGAGATACAAAATGTAGCCGATGCCATAATTAATACACGTATTTAAATATGAGTCCAAAAGCAGGGAAAGGTGAGAGGGAAGATATGAGACAGGGCAACAGGCAACACATCCATTATCTTTTCTGTCTGATCTAGTTGCAGAAACTGTTAGAGGACCAAGCAGTAGAGAATGTTCTAGAATAACTTTTGGGATGGCAGCAGCCTCTTTGCTTAATAACATTCACCTTACCTTCCTCCCCTTCTTTTTTTTTAATGAATTAAGAGCATTTAGCTGTGGAATAGGAGAACCATCAGAGTTAACAACCCAAATCCCCTTGCAAGGGGACATGTGGTTCATTTACAGTGACTACTGCTGGGTCCATGTTAGGAGTTCACCAGTGCACTTTAGGGGCTTCTGAAAAGCCATCTGGCAGATGACATCACCTACTGCAAGGGACAATCATAATGGGAAATAGCTTCATAACATTCTTTATATGACCGTCTCCTGAATGCACACACAGACATATTCCCTAAAAGGCATTTCCTCTTCAAAACAAAAAGGAGCATGTACTGTGGGGCTTGTGGACAGTCAATTAAAAGCTGAAGTGATGGTGGGTACTGGGATTTGACTTTAACAGAAAAACCTGGCCTTTTTTTTTTTTTTTGCCCGTATTCTTGTGTGTCATATAAAAGCAAACAAGCAAATCTATCCCCTTATTACTCTGTCTTTGCTAAAGGCAAAATTCCAGAAATCAACTATAAGTTTTTTTCTAAACTGGACAGTGTCTTGTTAAGGGGCATCACTTTTCTCTTTGCTAAGTGTATTAGTTAAGAAAACATGAGAAATATGACCTCTTTTAACAGATAAATCCCAAATTCTCAGGGAGTTAGCACAGCACAAGCTCATTTCTAGTTATATTCCTGTCCAATTCAGTTGATTCTGAATACTTGGCCTTCCACTGGTCATTGAAGAACCTCCTTCCATCTGGTGGCTTCACCCTCTCTTCACTCAGAGACTGGTTAGAGAAAGGGGATGAGGATCAAACATGGGAGACTTTCATGAGTTAGGCTTGTAAACAGCTCACCTTACTTTCACCCACATTCCCTTGTTTAAAACTCAATCATATGCCCACCCAACTGCAAGGGAGGCAAAAATATGTAGTCTAGCTGGGTGCCCCAAAAGGAGAAGTAATGGGTGAGGGGTGCATCTAGAAATCTCTGCCACAAAGAGCAGTGTTTGGAGACCTTGATCTATCCCACAAGCGAGATCACATAAGAGGAACAGCAGACTTGACTCTAAGTTTTCTGAAGAGCTCAGTGTGGAGGTTGAGAAGTGATGTGCAGCCCTTGGGTCCCCCACGTGCAACACACTCTCATGGGTAAACCCAGAGCTATTCTCAACTCCCAGTGTTTCCTGGATATAATGCCAGTCATTTCTCAGGAAACTGAGACCTGGAAAAGGAAAAATGTTGATTCCAGACCCACACAGCTAACTGTGGCCAAGTTTGTAAGAATAGTGTGGATATCAAGATAATGTTGAATTTGCCTCTCTCTCTCACTCCACACACACACACACACACACACACACACACACACACACGTGCATATGTGTATATACATATGTACATATATATGTATACATGTGTATTAAAATACATTCTTGACTTTTTGCTACTTTTGTTCTTTTGCTGTTTTCAGATCACCTTGAGGGAATGGGTTGTTAAAAATTCCTAATGCTGGAAGCTTTTTTTGCACACATGTATATACATACAAAAACATATATATGTACATACGTATATTAAGCAAATATTTGACAACTTAATTATTTTAATTATTATTAAAATGTACTTCCATTACATCCCTGCTTTTCGGTGTCACAATTAATGATATCTGGCTCGGAAGACTAAGAAAAACAATATTTTGTTTACCTTTGGGACCAAATAACAAAGCCCAACTCAGACTGTTTAAAATGATAAATAATATTTCTAAATTATTTATTTACAAACTTTTATATAGTGCTTACCATGTGCCAGATACCAACAGCCTTAAAAATATTTACTTAATCCTCATCACAACCCTGTGGTGGAAATACTATCATCATTCCCATGTTAGAGATGGGAAATTGTGGTCTGGTGGGATTAAGTAACTTGCCTGTGGTCACCTAAGTAATTGGTGGCAGCGCCAAAAGCTGAACTGAGAACAGAGTTCCTTAGCCAGTTCTCTTAGCTATTCAATTATGGAAGCCCATATCGGATCATACAGAGGCAGACCCAGTCTTTTAGTGACTCAGTAACACCAGGTATAAAGGTGGTTCTCCAATCAGATACCCGGTTTATGTCTCTATTTCATCGACTATCTCTCCTCTAGCTTATGTCATGAAAACAAAACGGCTGCCTGCAGAGGTGAGGCAATGTGCTTCCTTACACATGTTCAGTGGGAAAGAGAGACTCCTTGTTTTTTCCCATTCCTGAGTCTGCCTCTCTTTATGTGTCTTTGCCACAAACTTTTCCAACTTGCCTCTGAAGCAATCACTGACAAGGAAATGGGCTAGCATGATTGATTTAGCTTCAGTTTAGTCATTTGGATGAAGTAGATGATAAGAACAACTACAAGGTCCACTGTAGATAACTAACATTTCTTTTTATGTTTGTTTTTGAGATGGAGTCTCTTACCCAGGCTGAAGTGCGGTAGCACAATCATGGCTCACTGCAACCTCTGCCCACAGGTTCAAGTGATTCTCCCAGTAGCTGGGATTACAGGCACCTACCACTACACCCAGCTTATTTTTTGTATTTTTAGTACAGACGAGGTTTCATCATGTGGCCAGGCTGATCTTGAACTCCTGGCCTCGTGATTTGCCTGCCTCAGCCTCCCAAAGTGCTGGGATTATAGGTATGAGCCATTGTGCCCAGTAGATAACCAACATGTTTAGGCACAACTATGACCCTGCTGCAATGCCTTATTGGCTTATACAAGTGATTGCTTGGTAGTCCATAGTCTTTACTTACAATAAAGCGACTTTGTAAGATCTAGGACACCTTTTATATGTGTTATCTCATTTCCCAGTTAATAGGTAGGACATTTTATGATCCCTATTTCTTAGATTAGCAAACAGGTTGAAGGAAGAGCTATGTTTTCCAAAGCCACACGGGTTGGAACAAAGCAGAGACTTGAACCCATTCTCTTAACTTGTGGTGCAGCCATCTATCAACTTATGACCTCATCTTAATTAGGCATAAAGTCATACACTACAAAAGCAATCCCTGGGCAGAGAAAGTCTCAGAATCATTTTAGGGTCAGCCATTTGGGGTTGATTTTGTTTATTTTTAAATTTCTATTGCAGGACTTAAGCATTGTGTATTTGTCTTAATTCTCCTGCGCAATTTCTAACTAGATTTTTGCCTCTTTAGACTCAGCCTGAGTGTTCTACTTTTTGCTATCCCTAAGGACTTAGGCCGTTCAAAATTCCTAATGCTGGAAGTTTTTTATGCATGAAGAAAAGGTTTAGGAAAAGACACCAGCCAACTCTTGAGGACATGATGTAATTCCTCTCCAAGGCATTCAAACTTTTAGAATTTGTTTCATTAAAAGTATAGGAATAAGCATTAATTAACAGAAAACTTATTAAAATAATGCATAAAACATACCCTGCTGTTCTCTAGAATCTGACAGTCTTTCTTTTCTTTTGCTCTGTATTTTCCATAAATAGTGTTCAAAACTTAACCAGCATGCCACAAATTAATCTGGGAGAACTAACTGAAATTATAGTGAGGGTATTACTTTTAGAATTGTCACGGTAATAGATGTTGATAATTATGATTTACTGATGCAAAATATTAGCCCCCTATCATGGTGGGGGGTCAGCACATTGACTGTCATAACACTTTCTAGGTTCTGAATTTTATAGAAATGATAGAAACTTAGAACTTGGGATATCTGACGATGCCTGGCACCAAGTAGATACCATATATATATGGTATGTTTTCTCATTTGGAAAGGGTGGGGATTCATTTATTCAGCATTTGTTCAGTGTAAATGGATCTGTGTTCCTGCTCATTATGCAGCATAAATGCTGAAAAAATGAATCCCCACCCTTTTCAAATGAGAAAAGTCAAACCTAGAGTGGGGAAAAAGACTGAACCAAGTTCACATGTCCTGTGATGTCAGAGGCAAAAGCAAGACTCAACACTCTGGACTCGTTCTGTGCTCATTCTAACAAGTTATGAGTTGGGGAAAGCCTTTTATACCAGTGAGTCAACACAAGTTATTTAAATAAAATTTCTAAAATAGATATGCACAGTTATTGGAAAAATGTTTTTTTACCAATGTGGGGTTTGATTAGAATTGCACGAGGATCACAACATTGGTGGAAGGATCAAGGTGAGGATTTTAAGGAATCTGGGAATGCAAACTATTTGTTGATGCTTTATATTGAAGATTTCTGGAAAGGTCTTATAATGAACCAATAAATTATTTGCCCGGGCAAGAGTCTTTTGGAATGTTAAAGTTATGTCGATAAAGGTAATGGAATAGTAAAGTCATTTTAATGCAAATGAAATAAGCCATGTGGGCTAGATAACTTCAGTTCTCATAAGAAAAAGACAGCAGAGCTACAGAGGTCCAGAGAGTGGGCAACTCAGAGAGCAGGCCAGGATACAGTCAAGCAGAGCAATTGATGGGAGGCAGTGAGTCTTAGGTGGCCCACTTAGGCGAAGCAAGGGAAATGCCAGGCTCTTTTTAACAACCAGCTCCCACGTGAATTAGCAGAGCTAGAACTTACTCATTAATGTGGGGAGGGTACCAAGTCATTGAAGAGGGATCTGCTCCCATGACCCAAACACTTCCTATCAGGACCCCCTGTCAACATTGAGGATTACATTTCAACATGAGATTTGGAAAGGACACACATCTATACCATATCAAGAAATAAGCAACAATTCCACAAACAGCAAAAATTATGTTTCTAAAAGCAAGGCTATATGCTGAAAACCACTGAATAGCCAACAAACAAAAGCAATCCAACAACGACGACAGCAACAAAAGACCACCTACAACGACAGTGTCAACACAACACCCTTTTAATTTCAGAAGCATATTTCATTTGCAGTCTTTAGAACAGTGGTTGGTGGTATGGCTTGGATCTGTGCCCCTGCTCAAATCTCATGTGGAATTATAATCTCCAGTGCTGGAGGTGGGGTCTGGTGGGATATGAGTGGATAATGGGGGTGGATTTCTCATGAATGGTTTAGCACCATCTACTTGGTGCTGTTCTCATGATAGTGAGTGAGTTCTCATGAGATCTGATAGTTTAAAAGTGTGTAGCACCTCCCACCTTGTTCCTTTTCCTACCATGTAAAACGCCTGCTCCCCTTCGCTTTCCACCATTATTGTAAGTTTCTTGAGGACTCCCCAGAAGCCAAGCAGATGCCAGTGTTATGATTCCAGTGTAGCACATGGAACTGTGAGCCAATGAAATCTCTTTTCTTTATAAATTACCCAAGTCTCAGGTATGTCTTATAGCAATAAAAGAATGAACTAACACAGTTTTTTAATCAATAAAATTATTCTCTAATGATTGGTGTGTAGGCCATAGCTATCCTTATGTATCTGCTAAACTTAGTAGGTGCAATATTTGTGTACGGTTTAAATTTTGCAAATAGTTTACAACAAAATGACCAAAGAATATAAATGGATGTAGCTGCAATACATTTGAGATGCAATGAATTGACTGATCCCTTGCCTCTGAATTCTCTAAGACCATTCTTATGTTAGTATGTTCACTGGGAATCACCAGGCTGAGAATCCTAGTGGGATCTAATTGCAAAGGTCTAGAAAGAGTTGTATTATATTGTCAGGCTTTCCAACTTACCAAATACTTTTGATGACTGCTTTTTTCTCTTAGTTTTTGTGTCTACATTTTAAACAAAACAAGTTGTTTGGGGTCCCACCAGACAAATTTTCTGTTTCTTGACAGTCTCTGTTTATTGCCATCAACCTTCCATCTCCATGATTCTGCTATGAAAAAACCTGTCAAACAGGCTTTCTTTTTCAATACCCAAGAGTAGCTAAGTCTCTGGGCCTAGAAGCAATGTACTTATCCGTGAGAAATTGGTTACATTTTTCCCTGTCTATTTTTCTCCTCCTCCATCACAATTTTCTGCCCTAAATGGGTCTTTGAGTGTCATGAAGTGGGAAATACTCCAATTCACAGCAAAGAATTTGTCTGTGAAATCAGACACGCAGGTGCAAAGCTGAAATAATCTCCATCCAGCTACCTGGCTTAAGAGCCAAACATAGAGTGCTGAAATGTTTAAGCAGGAAGGGCCCCTCCCAGTGATCATATTCAATGTCCTCATGGCTCAGATGAAGAAACTGAGGCCCTTTGCAGAAGGGCAAAGTGATTTTCTTGAGAAAATATGTTAGTATTTTCTAACCTTTTTAAACACAAATATTAGCATAGGCCAAGCAATTAAATTGTGAAAAATTTTTACTATCTTCTTTGCTTCTCAAACATTTTTGTCATTTGTATGTGTAGTTATGTTTGTGATTATTCACAGCATTAGAGACAGCAGCTTGGGTACAGACTGTGTCTTTTTTCTGAGAATATCAAATCACTTTTAAGTCTTTTATCTCAGCTGGCAGAACCTACTATGCTCATTCTGGCAGATCTTAAGAGTTATTAATCAAATATTAATACATGTTTGTATTCATATTTTATTGTAAACAAATTTACCAATTTTGCTTCTCTCACATACAACACTTAAAGAGTTCAAAGACAAAAACCATTAAAAGTAGTGAAGATGAAATGAGAAATACTGGATAATAAAGCAGATTCTTGACCAGGCGCAGTGGCTCATGTCTGTAATTCCAGCACTTTGGAACACCGAGGTGGATGGATCACTTGAGTCCAGGAGTTTGAGGCCAGTCTGGGCAACATGGCAAAACCCCATCCCTACAAAAAATTAGCCAGGCATGGTGGCTTGCACCTGTAGTGTCAGCTACTTGGGAGACTGAGGTGGGAGGATCCCCTGAGCCTGGGGAGTTGAGACTGCAGTGAGCTGTGATTGTGCCACTGCACTCCTGCCTGGGTGACAGAGCAAGGCCTTGTTTCAAAAAAATAATGCCAGTTCTGTTAAAAGTCTGCCCCTATAACGAACTCAGCACCACAAACCATTCTTGGTACAATTTACAGGTATTGATCGACTTACGACCTATGCAACTTAGGACCATTCGACTTTACGACCACAATCGCTAGCCACGACTGCTCCGCGTCTGGCAGCGCAAATGTTGCCCAGCTGGACGTACGACAGTGCGGACCAGCTTCTGGCAGCACTACCATCTCCACATACATATAGCCTACTCAACTTATGACCAAATCGTGTTACAACTGGTCTGTTGGAACAATTCTGGTCGTAAGTCGAGCACTAGCTGTAGTACCTTCAAAATAGGTAATTTTTGTTTAATGTATTGCATTTTAGGAATCTAAAGATTTATAAAACTTAAATAGTAATAACCCTATCTTCAGGGGCCAGAGAGCTGGCAAATATTTAGACTGAGTGACCTAACCAAAGACAGTCTATTTTGTTCCAAGACAAGAAGAGGGTCTGAGAAACTGACAAAGAGAAGCGTCATTTAATTATTACATAACAACCTACTTTAAGCATATGGGAAGGACATCAAGGGTACTTACATTAATAAGAAGTGCTACTTCACTAGCAGTGCTCATCCCAGGGGCAGATCAAGTCTGGGATGCAAAGAATCGTTGTCATCCACCTGGATGATCCCACCATGTCTATAAGTACAAAAGTAAACTGCTTCAAGATGCACCACAAGAACATGTCCACATGCCCCTTATCCCCAACTCCCTGTTTTCAAACTACTTTGTCACTAACGTAGCAGATGCTGGTAGTGGCCACCTGTCTCTTCTTGGCATGTACTGTTTCAGGAACTCTGACAGCTTCCTGCTGCAAGCTCTTGGAGCTCTCCACCCAAGAGGGAGGGTTATTTAGGGAGCTCAGCTCACATGCAGGACATCAGGGAGATGCTAAAGAGTTGGTAGCCCTGGGATAAGCATTTAACTAAGGATGGAAGGGAGCTGGTGGATCAAAACCCCAGCTTCTTTGCTCCAGAAGTGGGACAATTTGAGATATGTTTGATGCTGTCATGAAAAGGTCCCTGAAAGAACCCACAGAGGTAACTTGCTTGTTAACATACCCTATATTGGCTTCCTTCCTTACATTTAACAAATTATTTACATCCAAATCCTTAAGTCCAGTTCTCGGGGCATCAGTGCAAAAGCACACGTCAAATTTATTCCTTAGTCAAAGCAATTTAGGAAGTTATTGGATTAAAGTTACATAGGTGTCTGCTTCCCAGAATCTTTGCTTTGCTAATATTTACTGTGATTCTCAAAGGGAGGGGATTGGTATATATTATTCCCAGACTTAATCTGGATTATCTTCCCCTGACCTCAAGCATTTTATGAGATTAATTTGTGAAGACCACATTTGGGAATCTTACTTTTGAGACGTTCTAATGCCAACAAAACCTCCTAATGAGAAATAGTTTACAACAAGACATTTAGCCTTGAAGGATTAGAAATTTTATATTGGAATATTACATATGAGTAGTTTTCATAACCCATAACAATTTTCAAACAGCGAGAACCAGTGAGGTCATTACTTCAGCTCTGCCTTGAATAATCAGCCTTGATGTGCATGTAGTTAAGTCAAATGGTGAGTAACTTCTGATCCTAAAAACCTGGAAAGGAAGTAGTGGCAATGATAAATGGAATAATAATTTAAACTTCGTGGCCATGATATAAATACAACAGTTTGTGACTTGGAAAGATAGCAGTGATTCCTATTTTATGGTGAGGAAACAAACAGATTAAGTGAAGTACCCAAAGTCACACTGCTAAATGTGACAAGTCCAGGGCTGGCAGTCATATTTCCTGGCTTCTAGTTAAGCCCTCTTCTCTATTCCGCATTCCTTCTGTGTGAACAGGACCAGGAGATTGGAACAGAGATAGAATGGAGACAAGAAAGGCGAGAATCTGGGAGAAGAGCAGAGCTAGGGGGTTCATATTATAGGCTCTGACCTTGGTGTATCATTGGACAGAAATAAAAGTCAGCATTCACTTTCCCCTTCTGTTATATTCTTTCTGTTACTCCTTAAACACATTCTGGTAGCCGTGGTAGTGAACAATATTTCCACTTCAGCAGTGTCTTATATTGAAACATCTCTATTCATTTATATCTTTCTGAGAAATAGAAGTTGGGAGCTGAATGTTTGATTTCAGTAGAGTGTCTTGAGCTAAAATTGCTTTCTGGTTTTTGTTCCTTTTCTTATGTGTGTGTGTGTGTAAATAGATAATACATATATGTATATAAACATGTATATATTTCTGGAGAGAGAGGAATTTATGGGAATTTGCTCATTCACTTAGGAAGGCTGTATATATGTATCTCTTCTTGGCTCTGTTTCTTTGGAAAGCCCTAATACAGATGTGTACATAGACCAAGAAGCAAAAGCTTCCTTTCCCCCTACGCTACCCTCTCAATCAGATTTCCATCCCAAAGTAATCACTATTAATGGCTTGAGGTGAAGTTAATGGTTTGAAGTTGTATTCTTCTTCAACAGGAGGGTATACAGGATTTCTGTTGTTATTGTTGCTATTTTTTATTACAAACAGTACATGGCCAGTATTTTGTGCACATGGCCAGTGTTTTCCAGTCTTAAAAAATAGCCAAAGTAGAGCTATTAAGTTGAACTGTTAGCCTGTTTTACACTTTGATAAATACTGCAAACATTTCCGAAGGACTGAAGCAGCCTACCCCTGCATTAACAGTCTAAGAGAGGACTGTTTGCCCCCTCCCTGTCCAGCATGGGATACTATCACTCCTCTATCTGGTTCTAACTTGATGTGAGAAAAAAAATGGCATTGTTGTTTGTTTCAGTTTGCATCTTAGAGACAACTCTTGAGATACAATTTTTTAAACTTTTTTTCTTTACCATTCCGTTTAGGAATTCCAATTTAGATGTTATCTGTTCATAACTCTGGTGTCTCTTTACCTGCCGTCTCAACTTCAAATTAATCCTTGTGTATTCTGCTCTGTGTGCCACGCTGGAACTCTGAAAACTGGATTTCTTCATTCTCCCTGCTTCCTTGGGTTTATCAATCAAAAGGAGTCTAATTTACAAGGAGATTGGAAGGCAAGAGCAGGGGAGAAGGGACTTAATTCTTGTTTCTTCTGGTTTCCATTAGCATAGCTCTAGCAACAGCAGATGTTTCCAGCTCCAACATCTTTTAGCCCCTGAGAACTAGTCCCATCCTTCCTCCAGACATAATTTTCTTTTGCTCTGGCTGTGTTAAACATTTTTCTCTATCATTATCTTTAAACAGTTTCATTATAACTTTGGTGTAGTTTTCTTCACATTTCTTATGTTTGGGATCTGTTGAGATTCTTGAATCTGTGGAGTTCATAATTTTCATCAAATGTGGAAATTTTCAGGTCATTATTTCTTGAAGTATGTTTTCTGTGTTTTTCTATCTTTGGGGATTCCAGTTGCTACACATATATTAGGCTGCTTGAACATGTTACACAACTCACTGATAGGCTATGTTCACTTCTATTACCCTTTTTGGTTTTTTACTGCTTTTGGAATATTTCTATTGTTTTGCTTTCAATAATCTTTTTTTCTGTAATGTCTGTTCTACCTTTAGTTTCATCTAGCATATATGCATATATTTTAAATCTCAGACATTGTAGTTTTGATCTCCAGAAGTTAAATTTAGGTCTTTTTTGTATCTTCCATCTTTTCAGTTATCATGTCCAAACTTTCCTCTGATTTTTTTGAACATATGGAATACAGTTACAGTAGCTTTTTTGTTTTTGTCTATGAATTTGATCATTGGTGTCATTTCTAGGTTAGTTTCCAATGATCAATTTTTTCTCCTCATGAGGCTTTAATTGATTAATTTTTTCCCCCATAATGGGTTATATTTTCCTGCCTTTTTGTAGGTCTAGTAAACTGATTCGGTGCCAAGTGCTATAAATCCTCCCTTTTGGGTGCTGGGTATTTTTTTTTTTTTTGTCCATATGGCTTTTTTTGAGATTTCTCTTAAGACATGGGTAAGTTACTAGAAAACAGTTTGATCCTCTCATGTCTGGCTGTTAAGCTGATTTTTTTTCCTAGTAACGAGGCAGTCCTTTTTCGCACTGTAGCTCATGCCTTATGAATCATGAGGCATTCCATTTTAACTGGGGGGGAATAGGAGCTCTCATCATTTTGAGTGGTTCTTTTCTCAGCTTTGGCTACTTTCTTCTGACACTCATGTGCTGGTAAAGTGCCCAGCTGGATACTAATGGAGAAACCTTCTTTTTTTTAAATTTTTTAAATAAATATATTTTATTGCACTTTAGGTTCTGGGGTACATGTGCAGAACATGCAGGATTGTTGCATAGGTACATACACGGCAATGTGGTTTGCTGTCTCCATCCCTCCTGTCACCTATATCTGGCATTTCTCCCCATGTTATCCCTCCCCAACCTCCCTAGCCTGCCGTCCCTCCCCTAGACCCCCCAAACAGACCCCAGTATATGATGCTCCTCTCCCTGTGTCCATGTGTTCTCTTCAACACCTAACACCCAACACCCGCCTATGAGTGACAACATGCAGTATTTGGTTTTCTCTTCTTGTGTCAATTTGCTGAGAATGGTGGTTTCCAGATTCATCCATGTCTCTACAAAGGAAACGAACTAATCATTTTTTACCTTATTTAAGTTTCTAGAGTTCTCTCTGCAGCTTTCTCTTCTTCAGTCTGTAATCTCTAGTTGCCTTGGTTTCCGCAAACCTCTGACTCCCAGTACCATTTCCTAACCTTAGGATGACCACATGGTCCACCAGACTTTCCTCTCTGTTCTGTGGCCCAGAAATTCTCTCTATTCTGGGGCAACTCTCTCTAGTCATGGGGCTCACATCATTCGTTCTCCTCGTGCAGGAATCATTTTTCTACATTGCCTAATGTCCAATGTTTTAAAATCTGTAGTTTTTAATATTCTTTTATTTTCTCTATTCTGTTTTTAGTTGTTCAGTAAAGAGGGTAAACATGTTCCCTGGCATTACATGTTCATCAAAAGACTGATTTTCCTTTCCAACATTTTAAAATTAAACTTTTTGAGGTAATTGTAGATTTTCATGGTTGTGAAAATTAAGATTCCCCATACCCTTTGCCCAGTTTCCCTAATGGTAATGTGTTGTAAAACTGTAGTTCAATATCACGGTCAGGATTTTGACATCAATACCATCAACATACTGAACATTTCTATCGCCCAAGTGTCCTTTGTGCCACCCATTTTTATCCACATTGCACTTTCCTCCTGCCCCCCTCACTATCAACATTTAGTGTATTTTCCATTTCCAAAATTTTGAAATTTTAGAAATGTTATGCAAATCATATGGTAATAGTGTTAAATAAATCATGTGGTATGTACCATTTTGGGATTGGCTTCTTTTTTTATTCAGCATAATAGATGTGGTTGCCAGTATTGACAGTTCTTTGTTTTTTATTGCTGACTAGTATTCCATAGTATGGATGTACCACATGGTATGATTTAACCATTCACCACTTGAGAGACATTAGGTTGTTGTTACTAATTTTTAACCATATAAATAAAGCTGCTACAAACGTGCGTGTACAGGTTTTTTTTTTTTTTCTTTTTTTTTAAATCTAAACATGTCTTTATTTCTGTGGGATAAAAGCCCAGGAGTACAATTTCTGGACCTTATGGTAGTTGTAAATTTAGAATTATGAGAGACTGCTAAAAACTCCCACCAGAAATGTATGAGAGATTGAGTTTTTCCTCATGCTTGCCAACTTTTGGTGGTTTTCAATATTTTTTATTTTAGCCATTCTGATAGGCTATCATATAAGTGATAGCTCCTTGTGGTTTTACTTTGCATTTGTCTAATGACTAATAAATAATCTTTCTTGTGTTTACTTGCTATTTCATATTTTCAGTGAAATGTTTCTTCATGCCTTTCCCCATGTTGTAACTGGATTATTTGATATTTAATTGTTGAATTCTGAGAATTCTTTACGTTTTCTGGATACTGGACCTTTAGATGATATACTATTAGCAAATGTTTTCTCCCCCTCTATAGCTTATCTTTTCATTATCTTAACAAGGTCTTTGATGGGGCAAATGTTTTCAGTTTTGTTGAAGTTAGTTCTTTATTTTGTGGGTCGTTCTCTTGGTGTCAAGTCTAAGAATCTAGCTCTAGATCTTGAAGACTTTCTAGTTTTTTTTTTTGTTTTTTGTTTTTTGTTTTTTTTTTTTACATTTAAGCTCGTAATTCATTTTGAGTACATTTTGACTTAGGTTGAGTTTGTTTTTGCCTGTGTATATCCACTTGCTCCAGCAGCATTTGTTCAAAAGATTGTCTTTCTTCTACTGAGGACATTTTTGTACCTTTCTAAAAAAAATTGGTCATATTTGTGTGGGTCTATTTATTCTCTATTCTGTTGGGTTGATCTGTGTCTAGCACTCTGCTAATACCATGTAGTCCTGATTAATGTAGCTATATAATAATACTTGGAATTGAGTAAACATTTTACCTCCCACTTTCTTTTTTCAAAATTATTTTAGTCATTATAGTTCCTTTGGTTTTCTTTATAAATTTTATAGCTATTTTATCTACATGTATAAAAATTATAGTTGGATTGTGACAGAAATTAAATCTGTAGGTAATTTGAGAATAATTGAATTTTTTATCATGTTGTGTCTTTCAAGCTATAATCATAGTATGTCTGTCTATTGATTTTTTTTTTTTTTTTTTTTTTTTTTTT